AAGTGCTGGCCTGGCAATATTACACAGTCCCATCTCAGCCTGGGTCCAGTTTTGAGCCATTCTCTGCCTTCAGCCCAATAGTAAAGTCCTATTTATTTACTTGGCTCTGCTGTGTTAATGCAAAAGCCACTTAACACAACAACGAGAAGGAAGGACATTTGCAACCAATTATGGTATTGCTGATCAGTCAAATGGTGCTGGAAATTGCATGTTGAAGTTCAGCCCAGGCAGCTGATCAATTACCTGGTAGCTTGGCACGGGTGCACGCTATCAGCTTCATAAATCAGTGTAATTCAGTTGCTACACCAGAATATAGATGTGTACTCGATATGGCATCAATATTCCATAGTGATGGTTAAAACTAGTTGGCCAAAAGCTGTGCTTTCTTATCTGCTGTGCAGCCCCACTGGTGCTCCAGCAGCCAGGGTGGAATTGGGCTTAGTTGTTCTTTAAATATACCCCTGGGCATCATTTAAAATCATGTTTTTCAAGCCTTTCTTTTCTTTACAACCACAAGGGAAGTTAGCACTCCAGCACGTAATTCAGGGCTGACCAAATTGCCAGCCTAGCTACCTGCTTCAAGAGGAAGACTTTCTCTTGGGTGGCAGATGCGCATCTTGGCTGCGTTATGCACAGCTTCCTCTTCTTAATTAGCTCTGACATTTTAGTGATCATAATAGGGGGTTGGTTTAGAAGTGAAGGCTCAAAGCCCTGGGTTTGTGCTGAAAGCAAAGTTTGCTGTAAGTGCATGGAAACCAGGGCGCTTCTAACAGTGATGGGCTGGAGCATGGAAAAACACGAGCTTCTGGAAGCACTGACGGTCGCTTCTCCCACACCTGATAGCAGCAGTTTGTGCTCTGTGCTTGTATAGAATCATAGAATAGTTAGGGTTGGAAAGGACCTTAAGATCATCCAGTTCCAACCCCCTGCCATGGGCAGGGACACCTCACACTAAACCATCTCACCCAAGGCCTCATCCAGCCTGGTCTTGAACACTGCCAGGGATGGAGCATTCACAACCTCCCTGGACAACCCATTCCAGTGCCTCACCACCCTCACAGGAAAGAATTTCCTCCTTAGATCCAATCTAAACTTCCCCTGTTTCAGTTTTAACCCGTTACCCCTTGTCCTGTCACTGCAGTCCCTAATGAAGAGTCCCTCTCCAGCATCCTTATAGGTCCCTTTCAGATACTGGAAGCTGCTCTGAGGTCTCCACGCAGCCTTCTCTTCTCCAGGCTGAACAGCCCCAACTTCCTCAGCCTGTCTCCATACAGGAGGTGCTCCAGTCCCTGATCATCCTCGTGGGCTCCTCTGGACTTGTTCCAACAGTTCCATGTCCTTTTTATGTTGAGGACACCAGAACTGCACACAATGCTCCAGGTGAGGTCTCACAAGAGCAGAGCAGAGGGGCAGGATCACCCCCTTCGACCTGCTGGTCACGCTGCTTTGGATGCAGCCCAGGATACGGTTGCTTTCTGTGATGCAAGCACACACTGAAGGCGGCCCATGTTCATTTTCTCATCAACCAACACCCCCAAGTCCTTCTCCGCAGGGCTGCTCTGAATCTCTTCTCTGCCCAGCCTGTAGCTGTGCCTGGGATTGCCCTGACAATCTCACCCTCACTCTTGTCCAACTGATCTTTGTTTGCCCTCCCGTTCTGCACCAGTGACAACTGCAGTTCACTGGTAGTTCCCAGCTCTGCTGTACCTCTGTTACCAGTGCATGTTCGTATTTGGGAGCATGCACAGGGACCTGAGCCATGGCTGCTGCGTTAGGTGCTTTGCAGAAGCAGGGTTTAAAGAAAGGCAATCCCTGCCCTGGGGACTTGTGTTCTGCAGGCAGTAATAACAGCGGTCATACAGCATACAAAATACAGATGTACAAAAGGCAAGGACCCTTCTTGGGTGGTGTGACTTGGTTGGGCTGATGCTTGGCTGAGAATGGAGGGAGGAGAGAAAACCTTAGCTCCTCCGTTGCCCAGCCATAGGCAAGGTTGTGTTTGGAAGGGATTTTTGGCAGGAGGGAGTTGCAGGGATGGTTTTGGAGGAGGAGGAGGAAGGAGTGGCTGCTCAGATTTTATCGGGAAGGTTTTCCCAGGCTTAAAAGAAAGCTGGGCAGAAAGTGAGGCTGCGCTTAGGGAAGGAGCTGACAGACAGATTCTAGAGGCTGGTGGGGCAAAGGTGATGGGCTGGCCGTATGGTAGGTGGGTTATTGGTTCAGCGAGGTAAGAGGAGATGTGGAAAGGTAACAGGAATACAGAGGGGAAGGCAAGAAGCTTCTGAATTATGTAAGCAGAGGACCAGAGTGACTGTGGAGTGAATTGATGTGGTCTTGAGGGCAGCTGCTGGAACGGGAGATGACGATAACTGATGGATGAAGAGGGAGGCTTAGTGGAGAACAGAGAGAGAGAAAGGGGTTTAGATGTTTATAAAGGCAAGCTTGAGACATGGTTCCAAAGCAAACCAGCCTGCCTGTGGTGGGTGAGACTGTGGGCCTAAGTGAGAGGTTAGGGAGTCTCTAAGAGAGAGATGGAGGTTGTCCCTGACTGAGGGGGAAAAGAGGGAGGATGGCAGCAAACAACCTATACCTGGCTTACCAGGAGGGGTAGAAAGCGGTGATCTGAGCTGTTCTGTGGAGCTGTTGCTATCTCTTTGCGTTATCGGAGTGTTTTTGCCATCTATTTTTTGATGAATGGATCTTTATATCATTACTGATCCTGGTAACTCGCCCAGTGCCATAGAATACAGGTCGCTGTGGGGGGTATTCCATCAGCCTGATTCTCCATCATCTCCCACCAGCTTCACACCAGCGAGGTTCCTTTTGCTGTTTCCACTTCCTAGCAGAAGAATTACTCTGGGAATATCTTGCCTTGTGGTGGTTTGTCCCTTCTGGCTCTGGCCATCACCCCGATAAATGTGGCAATGGTCAGTGGAGAAAAGAGCAATGATTAAACCCTAGATGCTTGCTTCCCTTTTTCCAGTTTACCCTTTTGAGTTCTCTTTTCCATTTCCCCATTCCCAAGAAGAGACGCACTCAAGGAACGTTCCCCTTAATGTCACAATGCAGAGTAATCCCTAGAGGAGTCTTTCAAAGATGACTTTGTATTTGTCCTGTCAATGCAGGATATTGGCGGTTTTTCTCCTCCCCCAAACATTTACATCTGGGAATGTGATGAAGTTGATTTTTATTCTTCCTAAATCTGTTTGGCTGGGGAAAAAAAAAATTGCTTTTATATTGATTTTTCAGTTTGTTCCTGTTGGAGTATAAAACCAGGGTGTAGAACAGTTGGGTACGGGGCGGGGGGGGGATTTATCAGTTGAAGTTGGAGAGCATCATATCCCAGGATGGAATGATGCAAACAAGGTGTGAAAACCTGGATCCAGGTAGCAATTGAGTAGCAATATTTCCTTTAGTTTTCCTTTATTATGCGTAATAGGGTAATTCATACTTTAAAGAGCAAGCACTGATTGCTCCAAAATAGGTGATGACTTTGTGATCCTTTTCAAATCAGAAGCCATCTGCAAAGTATCCCAGACTGGTTTGGGTTGGAAGGGACCTTAAAGCTCATCCAGCTCCAACCCCAGGGACACCTTCCACTAGAGCAGGTTGAACATTCAGCTCCCAATGCTATAACACAGCAAGGAGGATCTGCAGGAGGACTTTTCTGCTGGGAAACAGAGCCCCAGGTGATGGGCATCTCTCTGTTCAGGCTCCTCTCTCTGCTATCCCAGCTGCGGTACCACGTTTGCATAAGAAGCAACAGGGTGAGTAATGCCTGCCTCTGCAGACATCAAATGCTGCAGGTATTTTGTGGTAAACCTGATGCTGCTCTGGGCAGGGAGGATGCACTTTACTCTGAAAGCAAAGGATGAAAGCCTTTGTGGCAAGGGCTGGGCTTTGAGAGCGACTGAGCCCGATCCCCTGCACAAACAGCTGTTGTATTATCGCAATAGCTCATCTCCCAAAGCACCTGGGGCCACGGAGCCAGCGCACGCTGCAGCCTTGCAGCCTTCTGCTGGTGCTGCTGAGTGTCGCGATCCTACTCCAGCAATATATTGCTGTTCAATGCAATGAAACAGTGGATTTAAGGGATGCACCTCTTCAGGTTGCTTGTTCAAGCATGCTCAAGGTGATACACGGTGAAAACCAACCACTCTTAGATGGCTTGCCTATAGCTGTGCCCTGAAATGGCTGTATTTGCCCAATTCCTGAGCTATAGGTGTGTGGTGATGCAGACCTGGGGCTGTTGTCACCAAACTTGAGTCTAAGAATGGAGTAGATTTGCACCATTCCTCTCTGTTTGTAGGTGAAAGTGTTACTTGAGAGCCAGGGCATGGATGTAGCTGGCGGACAGACCTTGAAGCTGGGTGCTGGGTTATTGCCACTTACAACACTGGAGCAAAACTCTGTGTTTTCTTACATGGAGGTAAGGCTGCAGGTCCCTGGATTAAAAGTGCTATTAAGGAGCCACATTAGAAACATTACAGGGTGGCCAGTGTGCAGAAGCTTCCTCAATGAGTGTGTGCATTGGTGAAAGGGCAGGAGAAACGACGCAGGAGGATGTTCTCGCCTCTATAGGCAGAGGGAATGGATTTCCTGTGGAGCAGCCAAGAGTTTCTATTTACTGTGAAAACTCCCAATCCCGCTCTCCGTTTGGCAGCAAGATAAACCGCAGGCACTTGGTTGAACCGAATGCTCCAGAGGTTTAATTACCGCCACTCGCTAATCGGAATCAACACGGAGCGCAGTCCGCAGTGCCCAGCTTCAAGGAGAAATGCAGTCAGTAAAAGGAAGAGCCATAGCAGGCGCTCAGGTTGTTGTGGTCCTTCCCATAGCTGACCTAGCAAATGCTCTCTTTGAAACCTCAGGTTCTCCCTTAGCCGTTATCAAACTCCATAGCTCCTTGTTACTACACTCTTCTGTATATAGTGTCTATAAATGGGGCACTGAATTAAGGGAGTTCACAGCCCTGGAAACTAAATTTGCTATTTTTCCTGGTCTGAACTAGTCTCAATTCTGGCAATTATTCAGCCACAGAATTGCTGTATTACTGCAGCTTTATGAGGATCTTGGTTGGAAAAGGTGTCAAGAAGGCAGGTAAAGTTTTGGTGTGATCTCTGGCAGGGGCCCCTGCTCTGTGGGATGAATCAGGCATAGAATCCCAGATTGGTTTGGGTTGGAAGGGACCTTAAAGCTCATCCAGTTGCAACCCCTGCCACAGGCAGGGACACCTTCCACTAGAGCAGGATGCTCCAAGCACAGGTACTGCTGGCAATGGAGCTGCACTCCCTGCCTTCTGCCAGGGATCAAGCCCTGGCTTTACATCATGGGATGCTCCCAGGCTGGAGATGTTTATGCGGGAGCTGCTGTAGGAACCACATAAGTTGCTCTAAACCCTGTTCTCCATTTCCTTCTGTATAAGCAGGAGTTAGGTTTTCTCATCATCAGCAGCAGCAGCACACTTTGTATCCTGCCCCTACTGATTCATGGCAATAAGAGACCCTAAGAGCAATCCTTGTCCAAAGCAAGCAGCGTCCCGGTTAGTGCCAGCACCTTCCAGCACTGCTATTTGGGCTTTTTCCATGCTCTTAATCTTATAAATTGAATCGAGCCTGATGATAGAAGTGACTTCCTGGATATTGTGTAACAGCTTGTGCTTGTCAGGATGGGAGACAAACCAACCTGACCTTGAACTCCGGCGTTTCCTCCCAGCAGGTAGGAGCTTCCAACAGCCTGCGCTGATGCGGGGATTGCCAGAGGAGGCTCCTGGTCTCCTCAATGCCCTGGGACAGCAGCGAGGCTTCCATGGCAAAGGAGCTTTGGAAAATGCTTTGGATTCCCCTCTAGGGACTGGAGGATGCCCTGGAAAGCACTGCGGCAGGAAGGCAGCAGCGTGTTCCCGCTCCAGAAAGGAGGCAGAGAAGGAATCCCGTCCCTATCTGGCATGGTTTAACCTCCTGGGATTAATTAAAGGCTTTCTCAGTTTTTCTTTCAAACCTCACAACATTCATCTCTCCCTCGCTGAATAGGGAAAAGCAGAGGCATCTTCTCTGGTGAATCACCAGCCTGGTCCAGTGCTCAGTTTTACGTTGCAGTAATAGCTTTTCCCTAAGGGAATACCGTAGGAAGGGCAGACTTTGGCTTCTCACCACTGGAGCATTACATCATTAACACGAGCTGGGAATCTGAGCGGCGGGAGAAACAAATGTCCCTAAATCCAGCAATCCCCCTTCCCTTGGTGCTTCTGTCCCCTCTTCCCTGCCCATGGGTAGGGCAGGTGATGGTGGTGGCAGAGCCAGTGTGGGGCAGGGGACCACGTGCATGGCGATGTTACAGGAGCAGGGATGTGTCCTGCATCCTCTGAGCTGCTGGCAGTGCGAGGACTGGAGACTAATGGAGCTCTGGGACAGCGAAATCCTTCCTTCTACAACTCAGGCTTGTGGTGATGGATGCAATGGCAGGGAAGGAGCCACATGTCTCAGTGCTCTCTGAAACACACAGGGTCTTTCATATGGTTTCCTAATACCAGAGAAAGATGAGACCCGAGTCTCTAGTTCTTGAGCATCCTGAAGAAGCACCACAGCTCCTGGCTCAGCAAGCCCTGAGTACATGCATGGTCTCTATCCACTGGCCCTGCAGACCCTCCGGCTATGCCCTGGCTGCACAGTGTTTGTTTCCTGACCCCATTACCTATTCCCGTTTGCATTTCAGCTGCTTAGGCTTGATTCTTTTAAGCCCCCTCTATCTGATTATCAGCAGCCCAGCCAGGCAGATAGGAAGCTTCCTGCGGGATCCCCGGCAGCGCTGCAGGAGGATGTTTTGCCTCATTTATGCTCCTGGAGGTGACTGATCGACAAAGGGGCAGCGGAGAAGTTATGGGGGCAGTTCAAGGCTCCCCTGTGGTGCAGGCTCGTAAGTCTGGGACACTTTGCTGCGTGATGCTTTTCCTTGCTCCCAAGGGCACGCAGGGAGATGCAAACTTTGTTCCCAGGAGGCGTGGGTGACAGGCACCACATGCAAACCTGCATCCGCACCGCAGGATGCTTCTGGGAGCAGAGAGGAGCGCGGTTGCTGCGGCTGACCAGCGCAGGGGCACGGTGGCATGGCAGGGTAGAGCAGATGGGTACCGAAACCCTGTGCAACCCTCCCAGGGCTGCCCTGCTCTTGCTTTGCGGTTTCCTATTGTTGTCCTAACGCCGTCCTCCTCCTCCTCCCCCGCCCAGCTGGATGAAGAAGCCTCCAGCTGGCCTAGGAGGCTTATCAGCTCTGTCTGGCTGGGTGTTAACAGTCGATTTGCATAAGTACCTGTCCCCATCATATGCTGCCTGCCTTTGTGACTCATGTGCTTGTTTGTTTCTCCTTCAGCAGCCACGCTTGTGCTGGGCTGCTCCCAGAGGTACCAGGGCAGATGCCACCACCCCGGGCACTGCGGGATGGATGCTGAGCATCCTTCCTGGCTCACCCACTGCTCCTGCCCTGCGGGACCAGCTTGGGAATGACCCGTGGAACTCGCTGTTTTCTCCTGGTTGTCAAGGTAGAATTGAACTTGAACCTTTGCTTTCACACTTCCAGATGGGGAAAGCAAGGCTTCCCCTGGGCTGCAGTCCCAGCTTGTATTGCAGGGCAGGGTGATGCAACAGTGTGATGGGTAACTCTCCTCCCTGCTGTTAGGTGGGCATGAGCTGGGATCCTTAAAGGCCTTTCTGAACTCAGGCCTCAAAGGCAAGGGCAGCACAGACTGACTCCTGTGCATTTGCTGTGCTGCAGCCATCACTACAGCTCTGCTCCGAGTGCTGGTGGTGACCGTGGAGTCACCTCCTCAGGTAGGAGCTGAGCGGTCTTGTTTCTGCTCATTAGCTCTGAAAGGTGTCTCCATCCATAATAAGGAAGTCATTAGTGTGAAACTTCCACTACCAGGTACGATTGATTAGGAGATTATAACCACTGTAAAGGAGGGGATGCGTTGCATATACAATGCATTAAAGTCCCAGCATGCTGCTTTGGTTGTATGTCATTTGTGGAGCTCACCAGAGAATGGCTCAGGCAGATGGGTGGCTGCTGAGACAAGGAGGCACAAAAGCACAATGTAATCAGTCCTAAGTAACTTGAAGTTTGATGGCTTTGTAATGGACAATAACTGCAGTGCTTGAAGGTAGATGACAGGGGTTTAGGTCCTTAGGACCTTAGTACAAAAAGTGTAAGAAAAACAGAATAGAAAAACAGGACCTGGGGATGGGGAGCATCGGGGACTAGCAGATGTCCAGGATGGGCACAGTTACACTAACTGATCGGTAGGACAGGATGATTGCTGTGTTTGTGGTGTCAATGAACCCATTAAGCTGGTGTAAACATCTACTGGGGAGTATCAGGGACTAGCAGATGTCCAGGATGGAAGCAGTTAAACTAACTGATAAGTAGGACAGGTTTATTGCTGTGTCCGTGATGTAATTAAGTTGGTGCTTCAAAGACTGCCAGAAGTGATGAAGATTCTTGGGAGAAGTAAAGGACCCTCAGAGACCACCACCACCTTTGTGCATGCATGCGGGGAACCTTCAGGAAAACGATGTAACCCATGTGTAGCCTCATGAATATGTAATGCATGTATGCCCAGGGACTACATAAGGATGGCCTGTAGAGCAGCAGGGCGATACACGTTAGGAGGAGCTATCCCTTGTGTCTCCCGGCACCGCAATAAAGAATACCCGCTTATCGACTTGAAACCCTTGTTGGTGAGCTTGTTCCTGGAGTTTTCTCTGAATCACTGCTCGGAGCCTGTTTGCACAGGGCAAAGGTAAATTCACATCAACAGCTTGTACATCCTCTGTGGAAGGGCTCTAAGCCCATCCTAGGAGATGGACTCCATGGCTTTGGAAGTCCTCATGCTCTTGTTGCTGTGATATCTTACAAACAGGGTGCACAACCTTGAGGTCCTCTGTGCTTGCTGTTCAGTTTGGGATCCCCTCTGCAAGGAGCTACCAGTACTGAATAAGTTCTTCTGCATGTGGCCTAGAAACATGTCCTGGTGTGTTCTGTTTCCCCTCCACGGCTGACGAGCCAGGGAATCAGCTGCCCAGCCAGCCAGCCAGCCACTTCTTGTATGTAGAAGTTAAACACATATTTGCAGCATTCATCATCTCACTCATCGTAAAGTGCTTTTGACAGGGCATTGGTTGAGCTGTGCCAGGCGTACATTGCTCTTCTGACTGGGAGAGTGGATGGGGAAGTTGGGTGAGAAGAATGAGGGGTTCAGCTCAGCACGTCAATCTCGGTTTTGATTGTGCTGCCTGGGGTGTGATATTATGGGGCCAACTGAAGCGTTCTCTGCAATGGAGAGAGATGAGCAAGAGTGGAGAGGTGGATAACCAGCAACTTGGTATGAAGATAGGCTGGGAAAGTTGGGGCTGTTCAGCCTGGAGAAGAGAAGGCTGTGTGGAGACCTCAGAGCAGCTTCCAGTATCTGAAAGGGGTCTATAGGGATGCTGGGGAGGGACTCTTCATTAGGGACTGTAGTGACAGACAAGGGGTAACGGGTTAAACTGAAACAGGGGAAGTTTAGATTGGATCTAAGGAGGAAGTTCTTTCCTGTGAGGGTGCTGAGGCACTGGAATGGGTTGCCCAGGGAGGTTGTGAATGCTCCATCCCTGGCAGTGTTCAAGACCAGGCTGGACGAGGCCTTGGGTGAGATGGTTTAGTGTGAGGTGTCCCTGCCCACGGCAGGGGGGTTGGAACTGGATGATCTTAAGGTCCTTTCCAACCCAAACTGTTCTGTGATTCTATGATTCTAATATAATCACTGAAGAGGATCAGTGGACTGGATTGTCCAAAGGAAAATGCAATGAGCAGCAGAGGGAGGAAGAAACAGGCAATAACCACATGAGTCATTCAAGAAGCGGCTGAAAGAGGAGCAGAACCACAACAGGTTCAATTCACAAAGCCAAGAGAGGGCTGCAGGGATTCCAGGTCGGTGGCCGTTCCGGCTTTAGAGACACGATGAAATGGGATGGCTGCAGCTTCCTTGGATTTACTTTGCTCCCAACTAAGCAGCCTAAAAGTGAATTAGAAAACTACAAATCCCATAAAACGTGGCTGGGTCAAACCCAGAATGACTGAAATAAAATTAGCAGGATTACTCCAGAGGAGCCTGGGGCAGTGGATGCTCTCTGTCTGCTCCTCCTCCTCCAAAGTACTGTGCTTCTGTGGAAGTGGAGAAGAGAGTTCATGTGGTGGTTCTGGTGTTATCCAGTCTTGGGACCGCCAGCAGCACATGGACCTATGGTACAAAAAGCACCTGAGATAGACAGGACTCAGCATCTTGCTCAGCAAAGCAATTTGTCAATGTGCATGAATGGCAGCACGAGCCTTATTTCAGTCCTGTTCTAACAGGAGACAAAAAAGACCGGATCAATGTCTTCCATCAGAGGAGCAGAAGGCGGAGATGTTGGATCTGAAATCTTATTTACCCTCCCTCTCTCACAGCCCTTTGTACCTTCTGCTAATAAGTAGTGCTGCACATGCACAACTTGATCCAAACCCTGAAGAAATCAATAGGAATTGCCAGGTGCTCCATCCTCTGAAAACCAGACCGTGCATTTATGTGTCTAAACATGGGGCTTTTGGAGCCAGCTTTTGGGCATCCTTTTGAGAAGCTCGGATTGTGGCATTTTGTATCAGGTCCTGCCTGTGTTCAATCCTGATGAATACTGTGTGAAGTTGTAAATCTCAGGAAATCCTTCACTTTCCACCTTCATCTCTTTTCCCCAAATGCATTAACACCTGATTTGTCCTTTTGGCTACTCTTAGGTCCTTCCGAGTCATCATCGCCCATCCCACATCCCTCTCTGCTCGAAGCATCCAGGATAAGTTTGCTGCTTGGGAACATCACTCAGGAGATGGAGTGTCTGTGGCAACCCCCCTATGGTTAAAATCAACCCTGTAAGCAAACCCTCATCGCTTTATTTATGACTTTTGGATGAGATAATGGTTTTCCACTTTCAAAAAGGAAGCTCTCCACTTCAACACTTATTTTCTATAACTCCTTTGGCATTTATATTGCAACAGGAGCCTATTTGGTGACATTATCTGATAAATATCGTGTTATACAGCTGCAATTTACAATGCATGTATTTTTAACAGAGCTTCTAAGCTAAATTAAATGCTTCTAAAATACGGTGCTTATGGAAAACTAATGCCTGCTCTAGCAATTTTGGTTTTCAGGGTACACTCTTTTTTTAAACCCAGATACCATCTTTATCCTGTCAGGCAGTAAATTATGCACTTGCACTTTCATAAACTCTCCCCTTGGGAACTTAGTCAATGAAATGGAAATGTCTTTTTCACACCTTCCAACTCCGGAGGAATACAGGGGAATAGCCAACTCGGTTATGAACTGAATGCCTAGAGGGAATCCGTCTAAAATGTGGTTTAATGCAGTCCTGATGCATGTATTGCTTCGCATACGTCCTGCTCAGTGCATTGAATCGCGACTTACATCCTTAATGTCTCTCTTTGGTTTTAATTGAGAAAGTAATGGCATGTTGTGTGGTGGGATCTGCAGGTAGGAAGACACCCACTGGTACCTTGGCTGTTGCCCTTAGCTGTGGGAGGAGGAGAACCCTGTTGGCTTGCTCAGGGGAGTAAACCAGAACTGCTTTTACACCTATGTGGATCCTCTCCTGCATCGCAGGGTGGGAATGAGCAGGGAAAAGGTTTGCAATGGCATGTCCTGCCTCTGGGATAGCCTTTCATGAGGGAGGGAAGAGGTTCTTAGGTAGCTGGGATAAATGATCCTTGTAGGTCCTTTCCAACTGAACTATTCTAAATCCACTTCTATGTTCATCATCCATCACCCAGAACTGCTGAGTTTGCCCGTAGCAGTCAAACATCTTCATGTGAAGGTCTGAACAGCTGTGTTATCCCATCTCCATATCTAATGTGGAAAGTTTGAAATGCCTCCCGAAAGGGAGCAAAGTGGGGAAGTGTGTAGGGGAAGTCTTCTGGGATGCCTAGGGATGTATCCAAAGCAGGAGGAGCCACAACAGGTCTTCTGTCGCAGGAGCATCACTGAAGCTGTTCAGCTCATCACTGATGCTCCTTATTTCCCCACATCCACCCTATGAAAACCCCAGTTCTTCCAGTCTGGGGACTGCAGGAAACATGTGATATACTAGATGTACTTTGCAATAGAAGTGAACTTACAGGAAACAGGGAAACCAAAACCAGCAGAAAACCAAGCTTAACATTTGGCAGGAAAAAAATCAGTGCATAAACCCCACAAGAACGTGAGCATCTTTGCACAAAACCACTTACCGATGCATCCCTTAAAGGTAATCCCTTCAGACAGAGAGGCTGCCATTTCTTTACAAGATATTAAAGCAGCTGTTGCTAGAACATAGGGAATGTTTGAGCTATCCATCAAGGGAAGGACATTTGTAATGTTATATCCACTGTTTTTTTTTTCTGTTTACAGTTTATTTTGGTACCAAATTCCTACCTACTGCAGGTAATTGAGACTGCAAACAAAATCTCACTATCCTCTGAGCTGCCAAATCACATTTTCTTCTCCTGTAAGCACATTTTCCCTTAGCTTCAGAGAGGAACACAATTATGCCGAATGAATGAGAAAAGGGATTAGTTCATATAATGACCATAGCAGCCATCTCTCCCTTGATCTTTCCTTAGTAGCTCACTCTCGAAGACGGGAATGATTATTATTGTAATTCAGAACAGAGCTTGTTCTTTTTCCTTCCGCAGCATCTGCTTCCTACTCTCCAAATTAACACCTATCGCAATAAAAACTAAATATCCTGGCTGTAGGTGGGCTATTGGATGACCCTACCTGGGACATGGAGGCAAGTTTCATCATCTTTGTGCTCCCCTCCTGGAATGGCTGTGTATTGTTCTGGCCCTTGATAGAAATCAAAGTAGCCATGAGGCTATATTGATGACTTGAGGCTATATTGATGACTTGAGGCTATATTGATGACTTCTGGCAACCAGAGGCTTCACAAGAGGGTATCCAAGGCAGTAAATTACCAGCCATGTGTCTCCTGTGCTGTTTTCAAGTTGTGAAACAGGTTGTTTCTGAAGGTCTTCAAAACAACATTGGACTTTCATGATAGCTGGGGACTACCTGCACTCCCTTGGACATGCCCTATCCGTGTGTCTGGCGCTAATTCACTGCAGTAATCAAATTCGATGCCAACAAGGCAACTGGGTTTTCTTCTTCCTTTCCATGAGATCCGTCTGCACTGATTTTTCACGGGTCCCAAGCCTTGGTCAGAAGCTTTATTACACCAAAGCATTGGGAGATGATCTATTTTATAAGCTTTGCTGTCCTAAAGCTGCTTTAACAGTTTTGTAGTCGTAGCTGTAGGTGAGCCAATTCACCCCTAAAGTCAATGTGTTCACACCTTGTCATGCCAGCAACAGGCTTTAGCTCTGCAGAACTCATCCAAAGCTCATAGAGATTCCATCCTTCGCTTTCAAATACCTGTTAATTCTACTTAGGTGCTCATTATTGAGAGGTTACCTATATTTTTCCTTTTAGGTTTGCAAAAATAAGCACTGGTGAATGAAGATGAAAGGAAAACATTGCTGTTTTCTTCCCTGGAGATTGTATTTCTCACTTGTTGCATAACTGCTTATTTTAGCATCAATCAGCTGAGTCTTTGTTGTGTAGACAACTCTGTCCTTTCAGAGGATTTGTGCAGTATTATTTCCTTTAAAATGCCTGGGTTTTGGTTGTTTTTATTATTAGATTTATTTCTTCTCTGGGCAAATGCCAGCTGACAACGCCTGTAAGTGTTACATAAATGTCATGCTATGTAAGCTGAGTATCATGCAGATCATACACACGACCTTTCTGCAGAGCTATCCTTCAGGTGTTACCTGTGTGTTTTGTTTGTCTGTGTTACATGCATGCACCTATATATGAGTTTTGTTTAAGTGTGTATATATGGTAGGCAAAAATCTGCTAAGCTACTGACCAGGAAAGTACTCAAAATGCAGAAATGTCCGAACTCTTGTTGGCACAACTTTCATCTGCACCCTATTGTTGAAGCAGGAGATGATTGTAATTGCATGTTGACACGCTGTTTTTCTTCTGCATCTCTATATGGTGTGCAGGGAGCGAGATGCAGCGAGGGGCTCCGCAATGCTGGCTTGTTCCTATTGTTCAGCACACGATGCTAGGCCTGAGCTCAGCACATTATCCACATGTCTGACCACTTCTGGATTCCGCAGCAGTAGGAAACACAGCTCCACTCTTTCTGTGTGCACTTTCCAAAGCCAGAACAAGGTGCTCCTCTTCTGCATAGCAAAAATGCTTAGAGGTTGCACCGAGGGATGCTGTGACCTGCAGCACACAACCCATCTGCACCAAGGAACTGGGTTTTGATATTCCATGACCTCCTTTAGAGGGGTTGTCCAGAAGTCCTGGAGGAATGGCCAGAAGGGCTGTAGGGTTATGGTGCACTGCACAGGACCATTGCCAGGTTCCTCCAGAGACAGGATTATTAATTTCCTCATGGCTTTTCCTACAGTTCTTTCCACTACCCTGCGTCAGTGCTTCAGCACCTTCATTAATCCTTCCCCAAACACCCGTTATGAAGATGGGTCAGGGTGACACATGGATGGATTAAGGTCAGTTTTGACTAATTCGGGGTAGTCCATCTGAGGAGCAGAATGTCTGCGTTTTCAGAGCATTTAACATGATACAGCACTTCGTGCATGCAAGCGCAGCACCCGCTGCTTCCAGCTGTACTAAGATGGATGTCAGCAATTCAGGCAAAAGGTTTCAGGCTACACTGTGGGCAACACAACCCTCAGCAGCCAGAAGTTTGGTTTAATGAGTTCGTTTGCGTTACGAAGCCTGTGGCAAGAGCAAGGAGAGAATCCTGCTCTTTGGAAGAGTTTTATCCTGTCCTCAGCCTGTATGTTAAAGCCCTTTTATCGTGCTGTGGGCAGCTTTTGGTTCTGAAGATGGAGATCTGGCCAAACTTTGTTTCCTATTTGACTTACAGAGCAGGTCCATGGGCTGCAGGTGTCATATGGAAAACAGATTGTGAGTACATAATTAAGAACTGCATTAGAATATGCACGTGCAAGAAAGCTCCATAAATTGGTATGGAATGCCTCACTTTGGATGTTTGTGACATTGTGACCAAGTAACACAGTGACCTTCAAAATATCCCTTAAGGCAGCCCGTGCACTTAGCTGAAGTGGGATCCATAGGTGAACTCCTGGCAGGGAGTGCACTGGGTGCCAGAGCAGCGGGGCTAACAGCTGCCAAGGCACTTAGGGCCAATGGGGACTGACAGAAAGGGGTTGTGTTCATGTGTCCCATTGCTGCTGCACTACAAGGGAAGGCTTTTCTTACCTGGGGGCTGAAGTTTCAAGTGAGCTGCTGAGCAGCGCCTTGAGAGACCTCAGCATCCAGAACCAGGCATGATTTTTGCTGTGCGCTGTAAGCTGCTGTTCTTTAAACCCAGTAATAAGGCTAACTTGGGTGGGTTTATCTAAAACACCATAAAGGCCGTCTCACACCAAGTTGTAAGACCCTATTTCTAGAGTTACAGTCCAAAACACCACAGCAAGCCTGAGGATGACCGACACAATACTCCTTTGCTTTCCGCCTTGGAAGAGCCAAAGGACTTGGAGCATTCAGACCACAGCCTGCCGAAGCAGAAAGTTGCAGCCTAAATTCCTTCAAGTTAGGTAAATTATAAGGGCTGTGCAGTGGGGAGCATCCGCACGCCTCATCTGTGGTGGTTCTGTGGTCCCAATGGTTTTGAACGACCGGGAAAGCTGGCTAGCTGAATGGATTTACGAGACGATGGCAGCCTGTGACTGGAAGAACATCTTTAACCTGGATTTAAACCTTCTGCAGCAACTGAAGCAGCGCAAGACAGCTCCTGCAACGTGTTTGACTGGAGGGCCTCTGGGACTGAAAGGATGTGCACGGTACAGAGCATGCCATGCAATTAGCACTGTTTTAACTGAAGAAAGCGGTTCTATCTCACAGCAGCGCTGCGCTGTTGGGAATCCTGGGGAACGAGCTCCCACAGGGCAGAGCCTGAAACTCCCCTTCGGGGGGCCTGGGGTGGGGGTAACCTGGGACATAAGTGAAGTTTGGGGGGGGGGTTCACACATATACGTTCTACAGACACACATACACAGTCTATAGACACACACATACGGTCTATAAACATACATACACGGTCTATAGACACACATACACGGTCTATAGACACACATACACGGTCTATAGACACACATATACAGTCTATAGACATACATACATGTTCTATAGACACATATGCACAGTCTCTAGATGCACATGTATGTTCTATAGACACACATACACGGTCTATAGACAAACATATATGTTCTATAGACACACATACATCGTTTATAGACAAACATATATGCTCTATAGACACACATACACGGTTTATAGACAAACATATATGTTCTATAGATGCACATACACGGTCTATAGACACACATATATGGTCTATAGACACACATACAAAGTCTATGGACAAACATATATGTTCTATAGACACACATATATGTTCTATAGACACATATACAGTCTGTAGACGCACATATATGTTCTATAGACACACATATACTTTTATAGACACACATACATGGTCTATAGACGCACATACATGTTCTATAGACACACATATATGTTCTATAGATGCACATACATGGTCTATAGACGCACATACATGTTCTATAGATGCACATACATGGTCTATAGACACACATACATGGTCTACAGACGCACATACATGGTCTATAGACGCACATACATGTTCTATAGATGCACATACATGGTCTATAGACACACATACATGGTCTACAGACGCACATACATGGTCTATAGACGCACATACATGTCCTATAGACGCACATACATGTTCTATAGACACACATACATGTCCTATAGACGCACATACATGTTCTATAGACACACATACACGGTCTATAGACACCCACATACAGACACGCACACGGGGCTTCGCTGCTGCAGCCCCTCCGTGGCCCTCCCCGGCAATTCCCACGCCGCCGGCCCGCCCGCCCCGCGGCCGCGGAAGTTTGCTACGCGGGGAAGGGGTGTGTGTGGTGTGTATGTGTGTGTGTGTGTGTGTGTGTGTGTGTGTGTGTGTGTGTGTGTGTGTGTGTGTGTGTGTGCGCGCGGGTGGAGAGGGGGGCACGGCTGGGGGGGTGTGTGTGTAAACGGCTCCGCACCGCGTTCCCCGCCCGCTCCGCGATGGGCAAGAACCGTCTTTTTGACGCAGGAGAAATGGCAAATTTGAAGTACGTCATTAATATGGCGCCAAAAGGGCTGTTTTTTTTTTTTTTTTAAGTATAAGCTTATTTTTTATTATTTTTTTTTTATTTAAGGAGCGGCCCCGTTTACGCGTGTGCGCAGCGCGGAGCGGAGCGGGGCTGGGCGGGGGGTGGGGGGGGAAGAGCCGTGAGTGCGGGTGTGTGCGGGGCCGGCTGCGGGGCGGCTCCGGGGCTCCGGGCAGCGCCATGGGGCCCCGGCGGCCGGCGGCGGGGTGAGGGGCGGGCGGCAGCGGGCCGGGATGGGACCGGCGCTGCCCGCACCCGGCCCTGCCGCTGCGGCGCGGGGAGGACGGACGGGAAGAAACTGAACGTTTGGGGCGGCAGCAGCGGCGGGAGGGGGGGAGGGTTGGGGTTGGGGTTGGGGGGGGGGGTGGTGGTGGTGGTGGTGGTGGAAGCGCCGCCACCATTATCCGTCCCCGCTCCGAAAGTCGCTTCCCCGCCTCCCTGCCGGAGCCCGAGCGGCGGGGCGAGGAGAGCGTGAGGAAGTGCGGGGTGAAAAAGAAAGAGAAACAGGAGGCGGGCAGGGCTCGCCCGGCCGCCGCGGAGCGGCCATCTCGGCTGGGAGCGGGGTTGCATCCATGGAGTTACCGGGCGGGCGCTCCTAAAGGAGGGCCCCGGCGGCGCGGCCCCGGCAATGACACCGGATTGAGGCGGTCGACGGGGGGCTCTCCCGGCCGGGGACTGCGGGAGCATCCCCCGCCCCCCGCCTCCTCCCCGCCCGTAACCCGAGAGACCGGCTCAACTCTTGGAGGACACTCTGCTGGCAAAGGTAAAGGCGCGGCGGGCGCGGGGCTGCTTTTCCCGCGGGAGGGGATTCCGCGGCTTTTGCTGCCGTTGATTTATTTCTTGAAAATCTTCATTTTTGATTTATTTCTCTTTTTTTTTTGTGTGTGTGTGTGTGTCTTTTCCACCCCCTTCCCTACCCCCCCCACCCTCCCCAAGCGCTGCGAGGCGGGGGATGTGCAGCATTTCCAGGGGCGGATTGCGCATGTTGGTCACTCCTGGTTTAAAGTGTACGAGGGAGGCAGCGGGAACGTAAACACCAACTTTTCCAGGGTCGGCTCCCGGCTCCGCCGCGGTTGTTTTGATTCCATTCTCTATTTACTTGTTATTTATCTCCCCCCCCAACCACCACCACCACCACCCCGAATTAATGACTGCGGCAGAGGCAGCCCTGCGCTCTCCTTGCCCGCCGCGGGGCGGGAGCGCGCTCCGCGGCTCCGCGGGGCGGTGCGCGGCCCCGTGGGGGGGGGCTGTGTTGAGGATCCGCGGTTCCCGCGGGCGCGCAGCGCTGCGCGGGGCCGGGATGGCGCTGCCCGGGGGCGTGGCGGTGCCGGCTCCCGCCTGCCCTTCCCTCGCTCCATTCCCCCTTCCTTCCCCACCGCCTGTCCCCGATGGGTCCCCGGGATGCCGGGCCCTGGAGGCGCCCTCATCCCCCCCGCCCCGCGTATCCCCCAGGGACAAACGCATCCCCTCCCTGGTCCCCGTGCGCCGTGGGGGTCCTGCGTAGTGCGGTGCCGTCCGTCCCCCCCCCCCCAAACCGGAACCGGGCACCTGCCCTCGGGCTCCCTCCTCATCCTCCGGGGACCCCGCGCCGCTTCCCTCCTGCCGAACGGGGCATCCAGCGCTTTGCAACGGGATGCGGGGTGGGATGGAGCCCTTACCTGCAGCCCCGGGGTGGGATTGAGGTCTCAGCCGCCCCAGGATGCAGGATGGGATAGCTCTTAGCTGCCGCCCCAGGGTGGGATGGGGTGAGATAGAGCCTTTACCTGCTGCCCCAGGGTGGGATGCAGGGTGGGATGGGATCCTTACCTTGGGCTCCCTGGCTGGTGGAAGCACCGAGCTGGAGTTGGGAAGCGCTGCAGAGGCAGGGGAGCTCCTGAGTTGTCAACCTCGGGTGCAATTAGGAGGAGAGATATCATATATATATATATATATATTTTTCCATACCTGTACATCTTGAGCGCTGAGTGGGAAGGGAAGGATGGCATTCAGAGGGAAAATTCCCAGCTCCTGCTCTCAGCACCCACGGTGAATATTGTTTACTGATGGGTTGGAGCTGAGACCCTCCTACCGCTGGGACATTGCTCCGAGGGGGTTTTGCTTGGGAAAGGCAAAAAATCGGTGATCTCAGCCTTTCTCCCCGGGGTAAGGAGCCCCGCTCTTAGGAATGGTGTTTGACCTTTAAGGGTTTATTGGCTACTGAGGTTAAAATAAGCTTGAGATAGAAGTAAAAATAGCTTGCCGAAAGGTTAAATCAAAGGTTAAATTTGTTTTTCCTAGGAAAATTGAGGGCTGATGGCCAAAAATGAAGGCTTGGAGTAAAGCATGGGAGAGTACACGTTAGGTCTGTAGGCAGGGAGATGCTGTTCATTTGAAGTACTGGTGGCTGCTGGTAGTGTTTGACACCCAAGTTTGGGAAGTTGGTGGATGGGTGGTCCCCAAAGGAAGGGATTTCAAATAAGATCTGGTCTTTGCCTGTTCGTGGGTGTTTGGTACAAAGAGTGGTGTGCTCATAGCAACTGTTGATTCTCTGAGGTGGGAATGCTCAGAGACCTGTAGGATGGGGCAGCCGACTGCGGGCAAGGAGACGGGTCCCTGTATCCCTGTGTCCCCGCTTGCTTCCTCCTGCCCAAAGGCAGGGGTGGCCCCAAGTGCCCGCAATAACCTTTCTGATTACCTGTGCTCTGTCTGAGCTTGCTGAAGAAAAAAGCATGGCTAATTAGAGGGTAAGGAGTCAGAAGAGGCAAGCAAAGTTATAAATGTCAGTAGTAAAGGAATAAACCCCAAAGCATCCCCCTGTAGACGTGGAAAAGGGCAAAGCACAGGAAGTAAACGGGGCTTGGTTTGTTTTAAATTTAAATGAGATGAAGTTTTGCCCCAGGGAGCCCAGGCAGGGATGCAGGGGAGGAGAGGAGGAATGGCTCTCCCTTCACCTGGGCAGTTGAGTTCTTGCTTAAGAGGTGGGAGCTGACAGCAGGCTGTGGAGGAGGCAGAGGAGCTGCAGGGACAGGCTCCCACCGCCCAGAAAATGACTGTTCTGGGTACCAGGCTCGTGCCTTTCCACACTGACACTTCACAGGGTTACAAGGGAGGGTAGGAGAGGAGCAGTGTGGCTTCCCCGCTCTAAGATGTAAGGACTGTGCACCAGGATCTGTTGGCACAGCCGCTGCACATCCTTCGGTCAACAAGTTTGTTCTGCTGTTGTTGTGAAATAGGGGCTGTGCCTGCATTGGAGGATGCTGCTGCTCCGTCAGAGCCTCCTATAGCAGTGCTTGGCTCCAAAGTGGTTAACGAAAGGGAAATCCTATGGGGACAACCGTTGTACCATCAAGGCTGGGACCTTCCAGCCCTCCACCCTTCCTATAGTTATGCTTGCTTATACCGGCCCTCTTATACTTTCTAACAACTGGCTGGTATTCCTAGACAGAGCAAAGGAATAGTTCAGGCAGAGGGGATGCACTGAGAGCAGCCCCTCGGCTCCACGGTACCCACCGGGGTGCAGACAATGGGACGGGGGGGTGCAGGACCGGGTGTCCCCGGGTGTTGGGGGTCCCCGTGAGCGGGGTGCGGGCCGGCCGGAGCGGTGTGGGTGCCGCTGGGGGCACTCTCTTTCTGTTTGTGTTCCTATTTCTGTGCTGGAAGAACAAACAGGGAAGTGGTTTTTCTGCAGTCTCATTGCAGCTCGCAAACAGAGCACATCATTCAGCCGGTGTTGCTCAACTGTCACAGCGTCAGAGGTGACGGCAAAGGGGGGACCGAGCGCGGCGCATCCCCGAGCCTGCGGGTGGGCGCTGGGGAGAGGCGATGACACGATGACAAATACTTGGGGGTTTTTGGGTTTTGTACTGCAACTGATGCAGGTTTCTGTGCCTGTTCCCTGTGGGAGCAGTGAGCGCAGGCATGGATGCATTTCTCTGCTCACCACAGTCCAGAGTAGCTCATTCTCACAAACAGCCCCTGCATAGGCTGTTGGGATGCTGCTGGGAGCTCCCCTGTGGACTCGATGTGCCAAAGAGTTCACAGGGAGCTGGGAGACATCGCAGTTCCCCAGGGATTGTGGAGGGGTCCGGAGAGGGTGAGGAGCTGTTTGCTGGATGAGGCTGGATGGTGGTTTAGTGTGGATGGGAGCAGTGGGGAAGCGGGACAGGAGCTCAGGGTCTGAGCATCTCTGTGTGTGAAGAGTTCTGCTGCCTTCACCTCTCCCTGGTTGCATGGGCTGCATCTCCAAAAGCTCCTTTCCAGCCCCTCCCCTGCTGGACCAGGCAGCCTGAGGCCATCACCTCAAATCTTTCTAATTTGTCCTTGGCGCTAGTGATTTACATTTGTTTAGGCTGATGGGGGGCCATCATCTTCCCGGGTTTAGCATCTATCTGCCTTTCTCAGCTTGAACAAAGGCGATGCTGCGCATGTGGTAAGTTTGCAGGCAGTTTTTGGGTTCGCAGGCATTAGAGCTGGGCTTTGCCTGTGGGTTTGAGTTGCGGACACTTCAGGGGGATGTTCATTTGTTTAGAAAAGAAACCCACATCTGTTTCTGTTTGAATTTTCTAAGCAAGCATACATAGAAACCTTCCTCTTGGTTTCTGGCTCTGTAAGAGCTGGGTTTGGGGCCAAGTTTGACCTAACAGTGACCTGCTCAAAGTATTACAAATTTTGTTGGTATTTGTTGATGACTTTCATGATGATGCCATGCAGGGAATGGGTCACTTCAAGGTGAAATTAGCTTCTAATGTAAACAGAAGAGTCGTTTTGGAGCAGAGACTGTGTCTTGTGGAGACTCCAAATGGCTCAGATGCGCACCAAGTGAATTGTTTCTATGAGCTCGGTGGGGGGTTTTTGGGGGGCTGGAGCTCCTTCGCTTTGGAATGGGTGGGATGTGGCAGTGGGTCCCTGTGCTGGGTTCCAATGGCTTAGCCAGCCACCATCAGACTTTATAACCCTGTGCTCCAGGTGGAAAAATGGCTCAGTTACTACTTCTACAGAAAATCCCTCTGTTAAGGACCATACTATTTCACTGCTCAAGAAGATGAGTCCATCAGAAAACAGCATCTTCTTAGCACTGCCTGGAAGTTACCATTTTTTGAAAAGGCTTGGCTGAACCCTGTGGATTTTGCCCCAGAGTTTGCTCCCTTTAGGCACACAGCGCCTGTGGGGCTGTTCTGTGCCATTCCCATCCCAGGCAGCAGTTGCTTTTCTTGCTGCTGTGTTCAGAGATGTCAGCGCTTTGCTCAAGCCAGGATTTCATTCAGAGCAATTTAATGCAATTTGGTTCAGAGGATGCTGTCTTGGATCCTGCCAAACAGTGGCAAAATGATTTCCTGAAGTAGAGCTGCTATTTTACCTGCAGTGTGAACCACTGCTGTATGTGAATATAAATCCATACTGTTACACAGTGAGCATGTAACAGTATGTTGTGTAGGACGGAAGCAGGATGCAGGGGACCAAGCTCAACTAAAGGGACGAGCAGTGCATCTTCTCACATCTGTATCAGAGCCAAAACCAGTCCCAGCATCCTGACAGCTGTGCTGTACATTAATCATGCACCTTTTTCCCTCCCTTGGAAGGAAAGGGATGCCCACGGCACTGTCTTGCTGTAAAGGCAAAGATGGGAAGCACTGGAAATCTCACTGGTTATCAGTAGCGTTTCTTTGCTTCAGCTCAGGTGTTTCTTTTCCCCATTGACTTTGGTTTATTTAATCTCTGTGACGAGGAACTCCAGGAGCAATAAAAGCATAGCTCCAGCTTTGTGCTCTGTTAGCCACTTCAAACCAGGAGGAACCAGTTTAGAAGGTTCAGGTCGAATTCCCACTAACAGTAAGTAAACTGCAGTTAGAGCCATCTTCAATATCGCTTTCCCCTAGCAAAATCTGGTGGCTGCTTGCAACAAGGCTGGTTTAATAACATCTGTTTCCCCTGGAATCCATGGGGGAAAGTATTGATATTGCCATACTCTTAAGGAACATTTTGTGCCTTACCACAACACTGGTAGTTAAAGGTTTATGATACTTGGTAGTATTATCCCTTATAATGGTGTGATAAAACATAGCACATATAGTGTAAAATACAGGCGTTGCAGAGGTTCTATATGCTTATGTGGGACTTTTCCTGTTGTTTGGTGGGGATGACATGCTCTCGCCTCCTATCCAGTTTGAGTGCTTCTAGTACCTGCTGTGACCAAAGCACACAAGAGCAGTGTTTTATTATCATTCCCACTTCCCAGTTGAGGGAAGCAGCAGTGTGTGTGCCATGTCAGCACCCTGAGGTTCTTACAGAGTATCTCAGAAACCACTAGGAAGGTGTCCATGAGGTTAACATTGTTTTCTGCAGGTGTATTTTAGCTCACAGCCTCTTGGAGAGGTCTCTGGTCCATGGGTAGCCCTTCCCACCCAGCGCTCCCTAAGCCCTGTATTGGGGTCACACTGGTCAGCCACCAGCCACACTGATAAGCTGGGGTCTTCAGAAGTTTAAAATCTCTTCTTCCTTTCTTTTTCCCTTCCTCCTTTCTTTGATCCCTTCCTTCTGTCTTTTTCCCCTTCCTTCTTCCTTCTTTCTTGTTCCATCACCTACTGATAAAGGTACTTAACTTTCAACTCCAAATGCTTGGTTCCTGAGGGGCAACTCCAGGAGAGCCCTCTGATTTCAAGTGTTTCTATGGTTTGTTCATAGTCACAAAGCAAACCAGCACCCAAGCTCGAAATGGGTCTTCTGTCCTCCCAGTTGGTGCAGTGGTACCCAGTGCCATGGTTTGTATCTGAGCGGATGGAGAGCTCACAGCAGCTGTGCAGAAGCCACTTGCTCACCCCCTGGGGCTGCACTGGAGCAGGCAGAGCAGCTCTGGGTGATGGGAAGCATGCTTCAGGCTTGGCTAGAGTGTGCTGGCTGTGTGACAGAGACACCAGAAGTCTTAGAAGTAGATGCTGCCTGAGTGGGAAGATGAGTCAGAGGGTAAAACCCCAGGCTTATTGTACACAGGGGTCCTCTTCAGCTCCAGGATGCTTGGACTTCCCCCTGCAGCCGTACTGAAAGTGTGCAGGGTTTCTGTTCTACGTGTGCACTTCTCAAAGTTGCAGCCTGGATGGGTGGCTCCCAGCGGGGATGTCTTTTGTCCCATCCGACAGCATCATGGTCCCTGGTTTGGCATCCTTAGGCGATGATGCTCTTGCAGCAGCAGAGCCATTGGTTGTGAATCCTTCATAGGCAAATCACCATGCAAAGCTGGGTGATAAGAGTGTACTCGCTGGTCCCCCTAGGAGAAGGGAAAGCTGGTTGAGATACTGACACCCTTACAGAAAAGCCCTATGAGGATTGTTTTCTTCCTGTTTTTAAGCCCCTGGGTAGGTGTGCGTGTGAGGGTAAGTGCTGGCTGGTGCTGAGGTAACTCCGTGTGTTGATAATGCAGAGATAACAGTGACTTGGTGCTGAGACGGGTTTCCTGGACATCACATGTAATGTTCAATTTCTTTTGTTACAGATGGAAGAGAAACGACGCAAGTACTCGATCAGCAGTGATAACTCAGACACCACTGACAGTAAGACCTTTAATTCAAGGCTTTGAACGAGATTCACCTCCAGCAGGGAAAAGGCTTGAATAATTAACTTTGCAAAGAGTGGAGGAAGCTGCATTTACTGGGAAGTCTCTGCACGATGAATTGTGTGCGGGGCTGGGTTTGTCAGAGATGCAGCAACAACCTGATAGCAATTTAAATGCCTGGCTGTGGCTCCTCTGTACTGATGAGAGTGTCTCCCTTCTGTAAGGAGCCCGGGCAAGGGAGAGCTGCTGATGGCAAACCTGCTAACGAAGCAGATACCCTTTATAGGCAAGTTGTCCTTTCCTGCTGCAGCCTGAGACTGGTTAGCTCTTGATTGAGTTGTACTGGGGGAAAGGGAAGTTTTTAGTGGAGTCAGATTAAAACCGGAGCCGCCTTGTTCCCTCCTTGTGAGCTGAAGAGTGATGTGGGAAAAGGGATGAGGTTCAAGCCAGCAGAGCTTGCAAGCCCACGCTTGCTATTCACCATCTACCTCACTTCATCCTCATTCAGGAAGGCACAGAAGCATGTGCTCAACAATAAACATGGATTTTGGCTATAAATAGAGTGCTTCCCTCTCCCACTTCTTCCAGGGTTTCACCCAGTGCAGACATACCGCAGTGCCTTCGTGTTCAGTACCCTCCAGGCACCAGTCTAATCCCTTGTCTGGGCTCCCGAGTTTCTCCCTGGTTCCCCTTGGTTTCTTACGAATGTCACAGTAATTTCATCTGGGCCGTGCTGGGATTTTGCTCTCCACACTTTACAGGATCTGGCCGCTGGATACCCGAGACCGAACGGGACTTTGCTAAAGACACTAAAACTTCTGGGCCTTTTCCTAACAGGATGATGGGGAGATTACAGGGGGTTAGGGAAGGGCTGATCTCGCTGGGTTTGGCTGCCGTTCCCACAGCTATAGCCAAAAAAACCTGTCAGCCTGAGTGCAGCTCGCACCATTGCTGCCGATGGGAACCTGCTGTTTGGCTGCTGGAGGGGACCCCCATCCCGCTGGAGCCGTAGGGAGGGGGCCGGGGGCTGAGCTGTGCCTATGGGAAGTGCTTCAGGCTCTGCCAGCGCCGCTGGCTTCTCGTACAAGGAAACATCTCTGTCTCAGAGGAGGGTTTGTTTTGGAAGCCGTGCTCCCAACTTCCCCTCTCCTAATCCCCACATGCTCAAAGGCTTACGGAGCCGAGCCGTGCTACCTGGCTGCTCTGCCTTTCGGGGGTAAGGCATCTTTAATCACAGTATTGAACAACATGGCCTTATCTCTGTTGGGCTTGGATATTCCTGCTGCAGGTGACATCTAAGCTGTTGACAAATGCTCTCCGGCAGGATAACTGTAAACAAAGTGATGACCTTCCTTTTGATTCCTCTGCCAGGAAAGGATGGCAGTGGCACGTTATCTACCTCTGTGTAGCTGTAGCACCGCGCTGTAGCTAGGGAAGAGGGGGCAAGGTGGATGTAGTGCCTCAGTCTCCCAGTAGAAGCTGTGGTTCTGGTGCTGCGATGCTCTGAGGAGCTCACTGAGTCCGGAGGCATTTCCCGGTGGCTGCAGCAGGGGACTTCAGCCGTGGGCTTTCCCTAGGGAGTCCTGTTGTGTACTGAAATGATTAAAGGAAGGCGTTTGTGTGGAGCCCACCAATGATACCTAGCTTGACACTGCAGTCAGAAAACCAGGGGTGCTTTGGGGACGACTGATGCTGTCAGATCTGGGCTTCATTTCATGGAGTACAAGAAAGAGGGTGCAAAGAGCGCAGGGTGAACCAGTGCCTCCTGCCCTGCCAGCAGAAATAGGCACGTGAGTTTGTCTGGGCTCAGGAGGGACTCAATGGCCTGAGCTGGCAGAGGAAGGCGCGTTTCCCACCGCAGTGATACTGCATCAGGGACAGCCCTGGTCCCTCGGGACAGCTCAGCCTCTGGGCAGAGCTCCTGAAGCCCTTGTGTGCATGGCTCCATCAGGTCTGCCAGTTCCCTGTGTGCATGGTGTGGTTTCCTCCTGCTCAGCCATCCAAGGGTAATATCAGTGTTAAATAGACTTACTGATAGTTAATTTGCTGCACCCCCCAAAAACATCTCTATCTACTGGAATCTGGAGGGGTCCTGCTCTACAGAAGACCCAGCTGTCCTCCTCATTATAAAAAGATTCCAATAATTAGTTTATTATTTCTTATTACAAAATACATGTCTTTGGGGTTTTTTTTAGTGATAGTAACACACCTGGGTTGGAAACAAAGATTAATAACTTCATGGTCCGAGCACATTCCAGGCTTCAGCTGCCCTTGCCTTGTGGAAGGTGGTAGCAGTGGTGATGATACTGCTCCAGTCAGGATGGTGAGAGTCCATTCATAATGCTCCCAGAGGAAAGAAATCCCAAATCCCAAAGCAAATGCTGTCTTCCTGCTGAAAAGTGTAAATTCATTTGCTTGATGTGTCCTGTTGCATGGTTCCCACCAGGTGCTGAACAGGCATGGGAATGCTCAGTCCTGGCATGGACCCAATTTGGGCAGTGTTTCTGACCATGGGGTCTGAAGTCCTTGAGCAGTTCAGGTCCTTTTCTGTACGCATCCTTGTTAGAAAACTTCTAGTCTTACCTCCTGAATTCCTGATCCCAGCAGATCTCAGGAATGAGCCCTTGCTCATTCCCCCTTAGAAGCTGTTCTTACTTCATGTCTTTAGGTTTCTCATTTCTAATGTTTGCATTCCAGAAGCCTCTGCTTCAATCATCTATAGCAGCAGGAAAGTAACGTTAATCTCTTTTGGTGAAGTACCCTGGGATGTGCACACCAGTAATGCCACGTCAATGTATTACTGCCTCTTAGTGTTGACCCAGAGCCTCGGTTGAGGCTGTAGGAGTGGCAGTGGGGTGGGGACAAAGATGGGGAATAAAATGGATCTGTTCTCCAGGTAACCTGTCTCTGTTGCCTTATTGCAGGTCACACGACCTCTGCCTCCAGATGCTCCAAGATTCCAAGTACCAAATCCCCCTGGTCACGGCAGAAGGAGAAGAAGCCCTCTGAGGTACGTGGGCTTTTGCCAGAGGAGAGCTTTTCTTTAGGGAAAAACCAGATGTGCATGGCAACCACAGCTGGCTGCGGGTGGTGGGTACCAGGACAGGATATCCTCCAGGATGATGGAGCCAGTGGTGCCTTGGCCTTAGCCTTGTGCTTGGTTCTGCTGGGAGGGAGCAGGCAGAGGTACCCTGCAGACATCACTGACGGAGGGTGAGGGGTTCTTGTGCTCACTGCATCCCTGTTGATGCAAGTGGGGAGAGGTGGAGTTTGGTGGGACTGGGAGGTCCTGCACTATCAGAGTAGCTACATGGCTGAGGTTCCCTGGTTTGGTGCCCGCCTGGATGCCCTTTCATTAATAGCTCAGGTCATAGCACTGATGCCAGGAAGGGTGGCTCAGTGGCACAGGGCTCCTCCCCGTGAGCAAGTGGGAGGTTCAGGGCTGTGAAATGAGACACGGCACAGCTGAGCTGCAGATCAAGTTGTGTTGGGTTCCTCCTGTCACGGGGCTCAAGGGCATTGAGCTGAGGCCATTGGTGCCTGACCTTGCTGCTGGGTTTTCCCTTGCTCCTGGCTGGCACAGGGCAGTGCTGCCTGCCCCGGGGCATTGCCCTGGTTGCCCTTTCCAGCTCTGTGTTGCAGGGGCTGCGACCAGGTCGGGGGAACTCTGCTTCCCAAGGACTGTGCTGGAAGGGATGATGCTGTGCCCTGTTTTCCCTTGCGTGCCTCGGATACATTTTCACTAGACATGGAAACTATACCAGGCATGAGCTGCTGTTGTAGCAACTGCAGTGTTTAGTGGTGGTCACCTTCCTTTCAAGAGCAGCATGAGCAAAGCCAGAGGGACATTGTTCTTGCATTCCTTTTCCTCTGGACCGGGGTCTGGAGTCAAACAGAGCTATGTTTAGAAGCAGGTGAGGCTGGCACGGCTGATGCCTGCTCACAGGCTGTAAACTCCATCCCAAGCCCCTATGTTACACCTCTCCTGAGGCTGTGGCTAAGCACAAACCTCTCTAACATCCTCCCTTTGCATCATGCTGAGTAGAGATTTTGAGGTTTTCCTGTGGTCACTGCGTGAATCACAGCTGTGCTTGGCTCTTGCCACTCTGACACATTTGCATTGGTGCATCTAAGGGATCGGCGATGGACAGACTTTAAAAGTCTGAGTTGTTTGTGCTTTGGATAAAGAGAGGGGCTGAAAAGCTGTTATTACCAGCGGAAGTAGTTGGAAACACTCTAGAGAACAAAGAACCAGGGTGCAGATGTCACTGGCTGCTGACAAGGCTGTCGGGAAGTTGTGCATTAGGGCTGGTAATGCCATTTTTTGGTTATAGATGTGTCTCTTGAAATGGGTGAGGGTGTAATCTGTGAGCTGATCCCTCACTGAAAAAGTGAAGCATTTCGGGCATCTCCTCCTGCTGGGACACTGTGAAATAACTGCCCATCCCTGTGCTTGATGGCAATAAATCATCAGATTTGACATGGAGGTGCCTTCAGGGGTCCTGCAGGGATGCTCATCAGTAGACCTGGTCACATGTGCAAGGATGTGACTTGTGACACCCACAGTTTACTTGTCTGCTAATGAAGTTACTGGGTGGAAGTCCCAAGACTCCCAAGTGAAAACACTTCTGCACTTGAAGGATGTTCAGACCCGGATCCAAGTTTTGCTGCTGTACAACAGCTGGAGTGAAAACTAGGTCTCAGTCCACAGCACCCGGCGAGACATCAGATGGGGAGCCTGCAGGGGCCAGGCTTATCTCTCTGCTTCATGCTCTGTTATACCCAGAGGATAGTTCTCAGTGAAATGTAGCTCTGGAACAAATAAAGTGAAGCAAAAGCTTAACAGTGCCCAGCTTAGCAGCAGTTGGGACAGAAAGTGAACCTCGGTGCCACATCTGAACTGAAACTCCAGGGGAATTTGGGGAGGCCATGAGTAATGACTCAAGCTGGAGTTGGGCCAGGATGCTCAAGCTGCCAAACCATCTTTTACAAGAGCATGGTGGGAACCTGAGCAGATGGGAGCAGCCCAGGTCTCAGCTGGCCTCCCCTTACCCTGCATCTCCCCTGCAGCTGCTGGCATCCAGCTCTGCCCCAATTCAGCTCCAGGTGAAACCCAGGGGTCAGGAGAACACGTCCATGGGGTTGGATGTGGACTGCCACACACAGCAGGTCCAAGACGTGTAGCAGCACATGGTAATGGTTTGGAGGTCATCCCAGTGAGCGCTGGTTTATGGATTTCCTCTGCGACAGCATCTTCCATGGTTTTCCATGAATGACCCAGTGTTTCTTGCTGTGAGCATCCAAGTGTGGGATCCACTGTCTGTCACCTATGAAACCTGCAGGGTTTGGCATGTCCCAGGGGATTTCTTGCAGGAGCCCTGAAGCATTTCAGGCACAGAGAGGGATGGGCATTGTGTCCTGCTGGAGCAAGTACTGGGAAGCGTAAAGCATAAACCACACCGCTGTCAAACAGCTTCACGTGAAATAGTGAAGTACCTTTCTCTTTGCTGTCTGTTGAGGATGGCAGCCACAGGAGGGTAACAGGGAGAGCATGGTGAATGTATTGCAAGGAGGTTCTGGGGACGTCCAGAGGGGTGGTGATGCTGGAGGCCAGGCTGGGGGAGCAGGGGTTTGTGTGCATGGAGAGCTGTCCCTCTCAAAGTCATGGCCCCGTTGGTCTGCGAGCTGCAGTCTGCATTCCCCCTGCCAACCCGAGCAGGAGATGAAACGACTCCAAAGCATTAGTGTTCCATAGTTATTAGCCAGGTCAGGGGGTGATGTTTATTATGAAAGACTCTGTGAGAAGGGATTAACTCCACACATTAAAAACCACCCGATACAAGGCATCTGGAAAAACAAGCTTCTTAACGTGGAAAAGTACTGAGCTGTTTGTAAACATCCGCCAAGGGGGCCATTGCCAGCGAGGGTGATTATATTTATCTGTGCCTGTCACGGGGCTCTGCCCGGGCTCTTTCCTGATGTGTCCCAGGCACCAGGCCTCTGTCCTGGCTGCCTCCCTTGCAGAGATGACTCTTGTCCTCTCCTGCCCCAAGCATGGGCAGCAGAGACCTCAGGGCTGAGCTCCAGTGCGATGCCAATGGTGCCCCAGGCATGGGCATGGCTCTGCTGCCCTGCCAGTAGGCAGAGGATGGATGTGGGCAGGTGCCAGCAGCTTCTTGCATCTGCATTGATAGGAGTCTACCGATCTGGTCATTTTAATTAATCCCATTAGAGCTTGTTTGTCTCTGAACCTGGACGCAGATGGAGCGTGGTGGTCGGTACCCATGCCTGGGTGCTGCTGGCCAAGGAGCTCAGTGAGGAGGTGCTGCTTGTGCTCCCTGCTCCAGGAGCTGGAGGGAGGAGGATGCTCACTCAGGTCCTCCCTTGTTTTGAATGCTGAATCTGCAGCAGGGAGTAAGATGTGCCTGAAGTGTGGATTTCTGCTGCTTTTAGCGGCGCATTAGTGCAATCCTGCCCCCGGCTATAGGGCTGCTGGGGATACGAGCGCAAGCCTTGCTGGTTAGACTGCAGTCATCAAGCCCTCTCTCCTGTTCCTGACAGAGAACAGTTGTCAGTGTCTAAGGAGAGAATACAGGAACAAGGCCAGTGTGTAGTGATAGCTGCCAGTTCTATCCGCCAGCTCCCAGCCATCAGCAGCCTGGGGACTCCCTCAGATGCTGCCTCTGAATCACTGCCTTAGCCGGGGTGTTGGTCCTGAGCTCCTCAGCTACTTGGGATGCAGACCACTATCCTGCAGTGAGTTGCACTGATAGAAGATACAGTGGGGAGGAAAAGAATCCTGCTTTTTGTGCTAACCACCTGCCTGGCAGCCCTGCAGCCACCCTGTTCCGAGCTGCAGAGCTCTGTGTGGTCTCAGCTCTCCTCAGTGGGTGCTGCTCCTCTCGCCGGACATCCTCATCACCCTTCTCCTTCGGTCCAGACCTTCTGGAAGCAAGGAGACCGCAGCTGCAGGCAGGGTTCAAGATGAAGGGGAAACCACAAGATTTATACAATTTACATTATTTTCTGCTTGCCTTGTTTAGATACTGCTTCCGTGTTTTGAAAGATGCCTTTTTATATCTCTTTACAAGGATTTAACCCTTTTAGCCAACATCCTCCTTGCTTTCCTTCTAAAACCTTCTAAAAGGTAACTCTTAGTGCATTGAATCTTGGTTTTCCCCCTGCGATAGGTATATCATGGCCCAGTGCAATGTGAATTTAGTCCCAGGGCTTTCCATGCTTGACGAAGGGCTTTTATGAGGATGGCCAAGCAAGACTGGACATGCTTTTGCTGGGCTGGATGAGGAGTAAATCCGTCTGTTGAAAGATTTGACCGCAGTGGCTTTGTCACTTTTCCTGAGCTGACATGGGAATAGCAGTCTAATACCATTGTCTTCTGAATGCTGAGAAGGGCCAAACAAAAATGCTTCTTGTTCCTATTTTAAATTCTGTTGTTCATTGGATCTTTAGCATTCAGCATTGTGAGAGGAAACAAGGCGAGATGAAGAGATAGCAGGCTGGCTCCCAAATGAGCACGAGAGTAAGTATTTTTTCCCCCACAGGCAGATAGTATCACTGCTTACACACACAAACCAGGCATTGCTGTGCTTCAGAGCCTTGCTACTGAGCATCAGTGCTCCTCTCCTCTTAGAAAGGGCTGGAAAACTGTGATATAATGGCAGGGAAATAGGGCTGGAGGGGAGCAGGGCTGGCCAGCCAAGGGCTGCACCCGTGGAGGTGCCGGCTCAAGCTGATACGAAGACAGTTTGTACAACCAAAAACTATTCCCAGGGCTCCCATTGTTCCCGTTGTTTTCTCTTTCTCTGAAAATCCTTGTGACTCATGAGCTACAGCAAACAATTTTATGCTTGAGAGAATGAAGGGCTAATAGCACTGGCTGGAAGTGAGCAGGGAGCCCTGCAGATGAGGCAGCCGGAGACACCCCTGGTCCTGATGTGGAAGGAGGAAGGGGGTTATGGTTGCGGGGTGCACAGGACACAGCTGCTTTGG